GTGCTCTATGGCTCTGGACTGTCATGCTTAACGGTATTTTTAGCACACACACACTAACACACACACACAAATGTATCTATTGACATACATTTTGTTTTTGCGTATTTTTTGTTGGCTCCTGCGAGCGACTTTACGGACAATTTGTCAACGACATGGACAAAGATAGCAGCAGAAATTGTTGCCAGTTGTAAAATTAAAATGTCAAAGCCGACAACAACAAGGATCTGAAATAAAGAACATTTGTGCACACAGTCAGAGAGAGAGAGAGAGAGAGGGGGCAGTCGCCCACCCAAGGAATGCGTAGCCACCATGAATGGAATCCATCAACCGCCCATGGAGCAAAGGCCTCCAGCTGGCAGTTGTCAAGCAACGCAGCTACGCTGCGCTACTCCGTATTCAATCAGTTTTCAAATGCGTCGCATATTTCTGAACACAATATAGTGGATACCTTGGGCAGGGATTGTGTGGGGTGGCAGTGGTATCCACTTAGCCTCGGGTTGTTTCACATGGTTGCCATTTGCCATAATATGATAATTTCTTAAACAAACTGACATCTTGGCTAGTAACAAACAACTGATATTTTAACTAAAATCGGCCTAAAATGCAAATCATCCTGAAAATTAGATTTTCGGAAATTTAAATTGATTTTTTTCAGAGTTACTCTCTGAAGGATTGTTAAGTTAAAACGAATAACTGTGATAAGTTGTGAACTATAAAAATATATATGTCTAGTTTATTGTTTGGTGACATTTTTATGTGTTATTTAAATAAGATAATATTAAATGTAAAAAATATTGAAATATATGCCATAAATAAATAAATTTTAAATACATCTTTAAGCTTTGCTATAAAATGAATGGATGAGTTAGAACTTAATACAATAAGTATCACATCACATCATATTGGTGAAAAATATTAATAATTATTAATTAAATTTAATTATGATGTGAAAAAATAATATATATCTTTATATATGTCCATTTAATTAAAAGGACTTGAGACACTCTCAGATAGATAATAATTCCTGTTGTCTAACTTATTTTAGAAGAGGCTTGAGAAAAAGCCATAAAGCTATAAATATGGCTTATATTAGAGCAAAACATTTCGAAGATACCCAAATAGATCCTCAAGCCATGAAAAACCTGCTGGCAATACATTTATTAGATAATAAAAAAGTTAAGTGTAGCAAATTAATTAAGTAAGATATAAAATTGTTTTACGAGCACCATCTTGTTATGACGAGTATATTTCTTAAATTCGCTCTCTGATAGATTGCAAATACAAACAAAGCAGCAAAATAATATAAATAAAATAATGTTTACAATAGACGAACTAGTTAAAATTGCTCACAGAGCTCTTTCATCTAATTATCAGCAATTTCTCAATTCGTTGCCAAGCTACTCAGTTCTTAACTAGCCAACCTGCTGGCCCAACAAGCGGCATATGCTTTCAGCCATCAGGCCCGAACACAAAGAGCAACCCTAATGACACAGCGCCCCTCATTCGCCCTTCAGCTCGGCGGGGGTGCCGCTCAATTCCATCACTGGCAAAAACACAAAATACTTTACAGAATAAGCGCTCGAGGACATCCTTGACAAGTCGCCTACACCACCCGTTGCTCCATGGATTCGCCGCCCTAATGTGATGTGTGCCTCCTCCACACCCACACCCTCCCCACCTCCACGCCCACTTCCCCTTTGTGTTTTATTTTAAATTGTTTTTACTTTGATGTGTGTACTTCTGTTTTGGACTTGTTGCGTTTGCAACTGATTGTTGGAATTGGGATTTTGAAGCCGCACTTGATAAATATATATAAATAATAAAATCAATTCATATGTCAGGATTTTGCCGGGATCATAATATTTCACGTGGAAAACAAATACATATAAGTAGGTAATAAAATGATGCGATTGTCGAGTTGAGTTGTAAAACAATTCAATAATCATTCAGATGAAAAGGAAAACGAATTGTTATTGATTCATGATTGGTAAGCAAAATATCTTATCCAAAGTTTCAAAACAATTCTTGCCTTTCTTAAGAATCGTTTTCAATGGAAAATAAATATATATTTTCAGTGATTGAAAATGCTATGCTCCTTTGTAGTTTTGCTATTGCTACCAACTTTCAAAGAGCAATAGCAGAAAACTGAAACGAATGCTCTTTCGCTCTGCTCTGCAAGAGTAATAACAGTAATAACAGTAATAGCAGTAGCAAGAGCAAAAAAAAAAAATGCTCTCTGTAGTTTTAGCAATAGCTGAAAGAACAAGAGCAAGAGCGAGAGCATAGCAACTAAATTGTACAGCTTCTGCTACTGCTACTGCTACACTGCAATACTAATTGCGTATTTGTATTGCAATTCAGGCACTGAAATATATTCAGTGTTCAATTTTTTCAATGAGCACCCATTTGAAATTTGTAGAAAAACACGCGCTGCCATTTAGTTTGATTATCACAAATCACAAACAAAATCAGCAATCATCGAATTCATATTATATTATTTTTAGTTCTAGCAAGAGAATCTTTGCCACTGGATCGATTTCTGGTTTGGCTTTTACAACCTATCAAATATGTTTCGGGGCTATAAGAACTGAAGACAGAGACACAGACAATGCAAAGATACTTCCAACATTTTTAGTACAAAAATCAGGTTAATATCTCGTCAGGTTAATATCTCGTCAGGCAGTTAAAGTCAAAGCCATTGCGAATAAACGTGTGAATTTTATGTGTTGGCTGAAATTTTAAGAGGCTTTCAATTTAATGGGGCATTGCGATTCGCTAAGAACACCACACCAGGTAAAATAAATTGCAGTTTCAGAAATGCATGGAAAAAAAAGAAGAAAAAAATCAAAACAAACAAAACAGAACAGGAACAAGAACGAATGAACAAATTGTACATATCACCATAGAGAGATGGAAGACTCTTGCTTTATTTATTGTGCGATGCCTTACGACAATGTCCTTTGTGCGGCATTTTCCGGTTTTGCCTACAGTCACAGTGCACAGGTGTCGACGACTGTGTGTCAATTACTTAATTTTAATGGCTTTTATTATGCACTCGCACACACGGTAAAGTGTAAAATACACACACACACACACACACACAACACTTGCCCGCGAAGAATGCGCACCGTGTGGGCCATTAGCAAAATACAAGTCAATGAAGTCAAGTTGGGAAAAGTTGATCGCGTGAGTTGCGGCGATTTTAAGAGTGGACTTTGTTCAGATCACAGAACAAGCTAAAGACAGATTACTTTAGAAGCGGGCAATTGCATATGAGGGTGGAGTTTGAAAGAGAGAGTGAGTCAGAGAGAGAGTGAGAGACAGAGACTGAGATTGAGGGACAGAGAGATCTCGTCTAGCAGAGCCTGAAACTAGCTATTAAATGGATTAGAAATCTGAATGAGCGAATGGATCTCAGAGACTATAATCTTCAAATTAAGAAGATAAGTTCTCGTATAACAGTTTGAGCACAGACACATCCCTAATAAACCTAAGTCTGTAATAATGTTCAGCTATTTTTTTGTTCTGATACAATCTTTTCGGGTTAAATAATATCAGTTGCGATAAATGTTGGTTTATTCCGATTATGAATTTCAATTGGCAAAAATGGTTTCGGTTATTTTTAATATAGAAAAACATTTTATTATTAGGAAAACAATCTTCGCTAGATAATTCCATCTTAGGGACTCATTTTTAGAACCCGAACGCCAACATTAATTATTTAATAGCGCTCGAATAACTAAAATTGTTCTTTTATTGACTGATTAAACTTTTATTGACTGATTAAAAATACTATTTTAAAACAATTGGATTTTTTACTCTTTGTTTTATTATATGTATCAGTTAAAATAATATTTAAAATGTTGCATATAATTAATTTTTTTAAAGAGAAAACAGTTAAACAACAATATTTTTTATATATTTCAATATTGGTTTTCATTTATTTGTGTAAATAAATTGAAAGAGAAAATACAAAGCTACTCGAATATTGTTAAAGAAAAAATATTATTATATTAAAATGTAACTTATCAAACTAAAAATTAAAACTAGTATTTAAAGTATTTATTTGAAATGCTATTTAAATTAGATTGGCTTATAGTATATAATAAGGAAAAAATAGAATAACAGATCGTATTTAAGTATGTACATTTATATTTGCATGTGCACTTAAACATTCATAAAAATAAATAAGGTTGACTATTTGGTTACTTGGATGGTATTTGGTGCGAATCCGAATCTGAATCCGATTCCGATTCTGAGTCAAAGTCGCGAGTTTGAGTGAATATTATATCTATCCACTTGTTGCTAACTGCTGACTGGCTGACTGCCAGCTGCTCGTGGCCTGTTGCTGTTGTTGTTGTTGTATAGATTTTGTTTATGACGCCCCAACAACAAATGTACAAAACACAGGTGTCGTGTCGTTGGTTTATTATTTCAGCGCGACGAAGAAACAGAATTAAAACAACAAAATATCACACACACTCACTCGCCCATAATCATACAAATGAATAAATATGTAGACAAAACTACAGGCTAAGGCACACATTTTGAATAACGCACTAACCGTAACAAATGTGTAAGCTTTATGTAAATCTTGAGTTTCGATTGCACTTCGAATTTGTTTATTAAATTCAGTTGTTATTGTTGTTGTTTTGACAGACAGCAGCAACAAAAACAAACATCTGCAAACTGCTTTCTGTTTGGCGGTATGGTGAGTATGCGCATTCGAAATACGTTTCTCACAACTCATTTGTTACGCACTAAAGCGCTGCTATTTCGTACCTCAAGCGTTTAATATGCAATTAAAACATTGTTTAATCATATTTCAAGCGCAATCAGTAGCCCCTAAAAGTAAATAAAAATACAAAGATTTCAGTGCTTTGTAACACTTAACTAAAACTTGACAGCACTGAAAGCGTTCACAACTGTTGCGCACAGCTGAGTGACGTGAGCAGTTGCTTGCATGGCCAGTTATCGATATAACACAAATATCAAACTCACGATAAAGCTGAGGGCAACTATTAATTAATAATATTCTATTAAACTCTGTATATTTTCTTAATATTAATGATATTTGTAATTAAATACATATTTTCTTACAGTTTTTTTAAGAATATATTTTAAGTTCCTAAGCATGCCACTGTGCATAGTTCGGCCAGCTGTTTTTTGAAGTTTTGCAGCACTGCTTCGCATGCCTTGCGGAGTATAGGTTGGCTTTTGCGGCTTTTGTTTGCCAGTTACTGCCAATTGCATTTAGAATGGGCGATTTTCAAACATGGCTCAACGACCAACTCCGCCAGCTCAATACAGATGAAAGTGTATTTGGCGCGTACATAATTGGCATACTCGAGGGAGAGGAAGAAACGCAAGATGAAAAGATTGAGGCACTCGAGGGCATACTCAGCGGAACGGGCGTAAGTCATCCGAAGCGTGGCCATTCTGTCAATGTGAAAAATACACATTTTGCAGGCTGTTAACACGGAAGAGCTGGTGGCCAGCATACTGCAAAAGTGGTTGCAGAGCCATCCCAGTGCAGATGAGCCGCCCAAAAAGGGTCTGGACATCGATGTGAATGCCCAGCTTGCCAAGTTGCTGGAACAAAAGCTGCAACCCGTCGCCAAGGAGCGTGCATATACCGAGGAAGAACTGCGAATTAAACAACAAATACTGGCTCAATACTCCCAGGTTTGACCATTAGAGTTCTTTGAGCAGAGTGAAATTAAATTTCAAATATAATTAAATTTGATACTCGTATTCTTCTGCTTGGTCACAATGGTCAATTACAAATGCTAAAGAGCCCTTTCAAATTAGTCTATCAAATGTACTTAATTTAAAATCTAGAACAATTTAGTTCTAATTTTTTGCATAGAATAGTAAATCTTAAATTGAGAAACGAAGCTAAAGTTAACAGTCAGTAAAACTAGCATCAATGCCTCAATTTTCTTATTTGCCTTGCGAAAGATGTATTTCTTGATTTATTACATTTAATCTTCAATCCTTTTCCCAACCGATTAAATAATGAAATAATGTGGTATATTACCGTACATATTTTCTTCTAAACCATAATAATAATAATGTAGGCTGATCTAGACAAGCGAAATTATTATCATAAGCAATTTATGTTTACACTGTAAATGACCGCTTAATAACAAAAGATATATCGTTCCAAACAACAAACAAAAATTATTATGTATTCGATGAAATGACAATTAACGTTTATGTCTTTTACAACCACAGAGCGCCGTCAGCGAGGAGGAAAACGATGATTCGGATAGCGAAATCGCTGAGCCAAGCGGCTCAAGCATCATGGCACCCAATACCAACAAGTCGGATGTGGCGAACTTGGCCAAGGAGAAGCGCGAGCAGGCACGGCAGGACAGTGCGGCCAAGAAGCAAAAAGACAAGGATGATCGTGAGAAGCAGAAGCAGCTGCGCGAGGAGAAAAAAGAGAAACGCAAAACCGTTAAAGGCGAGCGTCGTCGGTAGCCAGCAAGATTAGAAAAAAACCGTCCGCAACTTCCATGAATTCAGTCACAATATGTAGAATATATACTATATAAAAAATTGTATTGCAATCAAATTACCAAAGTATCAAATTGTAATTAACATCAATGTATTTTAGTTGCGAATTGATTTGATATTTGAAATTGTTTTCACTATATTAAATATAAAATCGTTTTCACAATGCAGCAATTTTAATTCGAACTCTAATACTAACTTGTTTCTAATTTACTTCTAGGAATTATGTTTAAAACTTTAGTTTTCACATTTGCATCCAATTAGTGATTTATAGTGTCGCAATTTATGTAGTAATTGGCTCCTCAACATCCTTATTTTCCTCCGCACAAGCTGCCGGCTCCTGATCCGCTGTTTCGTCGTTATTATCATTCTCGTCGTTTATCTCTGAGCTTCGATTAGCCGCTTGCAGCTCTATTGATTGTTTTTTGATAGCCCCAATATCATCTAATTGGATGCGTCTATTGTTTCGATCCAAGCACTTCACCTTGACATCAATGAAATCGCTAATGTGCTCCTCATCCCAACTCGAATACTGCAAAGGATGCCACAGTTAAATTAAAAAACCATTTCAGGAAAATAGCAGTAGGAAAGGTTTCAAACTACACAGCTAATTGAAAATTAAAAAAAAAAAATATGGAAAGGAAAGCGATTTGCATGAAATAAAAATAACATATTCCTGAGGATCATTGATTATTAATAACTATTACATTATTATTATTATTAATTTTAAGTATGCAATATTATATGTTTACTGGCTGATATAGCCTTCGACAACATCCATGTTTATTCATGCCTTTTATATTTAAATAAATATTGGATTTTGGTAAACAAGTTTCATTAATGAAGAGTCTCAGAATGGCTTTTATTTAAATACCAGAAAAAATTAAAAAGTTAGTTTAATTTGCTATACGATTTTATTACAAAATAAAATGAATGCTTAAAATTTATTTAAAACAAAATATATAAATAACTTAACCGATACGGTTACTAGATAGATTATATATTAGATCTTATGTAAATAAATACAAAATAATAAAATCAAATTTAATTGCAATATCTTCAAATTTTCAAAACTTTTAAATAAATACTTAAATTCATGACTTTACCACTGAGGTGGATGTGAAGATCAACTGCTGTTCATGTGGCCTGTCCGCATCCTGTGACGTTTTCACACGCAGATATTTCTGCAAGAGATTCGTTTGCTCATCCTTGCGCCAGATACAAAGGCGACTGTTGTGCAGCCAATTCTTGTCCAATATATCCCGCTTCTTCAGCAGCAGATCCAGTTCGGCGAGCTGGACAAACTGCTTTTTGGGCGGTAAACTGTGCGATCTCTTCGACGTGGAAGGGTTATCGAAATCATCGTCGCTTGGCTCCGTTTCCAGCTCATCGTCATCATCGTCGTCGGACTCGAAGTCCTCGTCGCTTACCTTTGTCGGAATAGTGCGTTTCTTGTTTTTGGCTGCAGTCATTGGGGCGGCTCCTTTGCGCTTGCGTCCGCTTCCGCCAGCGTCGCCGCTGACGGTGCTATTGGTGCCAGTGGGACGTGGCTGCTTCTGCTGGGGCTTTTTGTTCGGACGCCAGTCCTCCTCGGAGTCGTCGTCGTCGGGGCTGTAATCCTCCTCGTCGGAGTCCAAATCAAATGTGGTGGTCACCAGTTCGGTGCGACTACGCATTTTCCACCTCAAGCTGCCAGGAAATTCTCTATCCGTGATTTTCTCTGACTGAAAAAAATGTCGTGTTTGTTGTTGTTGATTTCACGGAAATTGCACGGGGAAATTGCAATACAGCCTCTCAACTGCGTCCCGAATGGGGGTTGTTTTTTTGTGGCTGACCTCGAAACTCGCTCAGCTTCTTTCAGGAGCTTTTCTCTGCCTGAAAGCTTGCGACAGTGTTGCATTCGCCAGGGGCAAGCATCGAGAGCTGTTGCATGTTTATATCTGCATATATATATTTTTTATTTTTAGCTGAATTTGGCGACGATTGGTTTGTTCTTCAAAAAGGACACTAGCCAACTGAAAATTTGAGCGGAATTTTTGCGCTTCAAAAGAGTAAAATCGTTAAATCTGTTTGTATTTGATTTGCTTTGTGCCTCACAACCATTGTTCTCAATTGAGAGCTTTAAGCTCCACTTAAACATGCCACATGAATTGGAAATTGGAAACTTATTCGTAAGGCAATTCCCCAAAAATTAATTAAACCCTTTTAGCTTTCTGCGTCTGTTTCATGATTTTATTAAACTATTAACTTATACATTATACTGGTATTATTATTTATTACAATTTACTTTGAAGTTCTATAAACTCGAATACGAATATTAAATAATAAGTTTCATATCTTGAATGTATTTCGAACGTGAACAAAACTTTGGCCACAGAATAATCATTTATGTGTCTTTTAAATTTTGTCGTAGACTTCTCATTTCTCCGAGGGAAAACCCCAACAGATTTATCCGAAAGGCAATTACAATATCCCATTTGTTCAAACAAATTCAATTCTCAAAATAAATAGTCCAACTCCTAAAAATAAGACACATTATTATAAAAATACATCCCAAATCACAGTACAATTTTGATAATAATAGATTATAGACAGCTATTTTGACTAGACTAAGAACGCTGATCAAGAATATATATTATGGGATGCAACACGTTTTACACTTTATTTGACTTATTATAGTTATTTCTAATAATTCTAATTTATTAATTATGCATAATAATTTAAAATATAAATATTCCGAGCGCAACTGATAAATTTCCATCAGCTTTTCACATGATTTGGTAGGAGTCCCTTTCTTTGTTTGTGTATTTGGCTCTGTGCGTCCTGGTGAGATTTGTCCAGTTGCAGAAGACGCTGTCGGAAATCACGCATACGTCTAGCACTTAGTTCTGGTGGCGTTGGAGGACGCGACTTGTTGCTCTGGTTATTGTCTGCAAGTCCATTAGAATTGTTGAGATCGCAACGACGTTGTCGCATCTCCCGCATGCGCTGTGCACTTGACTTGGGTGAAGTCCTGCGAAGCAAGAAATCATCTTGAGTGTTTTTAGTAGTTTTACAAGTTGTGTTTCCATTGTTCAATCGCAGCAGACGGCGCTGGAACTCAGGCTTCACTTGACTGTCTCTTGATTTGGCTGTGTCCGGAGGATTGAGTTGATTGTCTAGATTCATGAGTCGCTGGCGAAGATCACGCATGTGCTGAGCACTCGAGATGGGTTGAAATGCACTCTTGTGATCCTTGCAGCGCTGTCGCAGCTGAGTTAATTTATTACTGGGATTTATTGCCTTATCCAGATTCAGTAGGCGTTGATGGATATCTCGAACTATTTCACGACGATTATTTGATTTCTTTACTGGCAGCAATCGATGTAACGGCTTCAATCGAAGAAACGTACAATTTCCATCTGAAATTAATATGTCATTTATGTTAAACATATTTCGGTTTAAGTAACAATATTTACCTTCAGTTGCTGAATGTTCGTTCAGATTTAATCCTTCGTCCTCCGGCTTTATCTCTATCTTTACAAGCGGCTCTATTTTGACTGGGCCCAGGTCGATTTCATTTACATCTAGCTGATTATCTGTTTCACATTTAATTTTGGTGTTGTTCCCCTGATCCGGTATAATATATTCATCTTCATTGTTTTCCACCTCGTACTCCTTCTTAACACTTATAAGTATAGCTTGTTCCATTTTATAACCTCAGTCATTTGGATCAGTCATTTATAAATAAACCAAAGAGTATCTTATGAATGTGGTTAAAGTTGTTTATAGAAATCAGCTGTAGCTAGGGATGACAATCATCTAGTCTTATTGATTGTTATTCCCATAAAAGTCACTGCTTTTACAAGAGTATCTTTCATAATCCGGGATGGTTACATTTTATAATTACTAGATGTGTTTAACAATATATGCCTCACAATAATATTAACCTATGTTTTTTAGTTTTTAGTTTTTTATTGATAGTTATCGGAATATCTGAAACAATATATTAATCGGAATTGAGTATTGAGCTCACAATCACAGAATATCGCTAGTATCGATATTCTAACGATAAGCTGTGTTTACAACGATAAAATACTTGTTAATTAAATTGGCTTTTACCATCCCTAATGCCGATTGTTTCATACCAAATATATAAGAGAATAGTTTGCTTACATTTAATAAATCTCCCGGTGAATCGGGTAAAATGCAAGTTCTTAATGAAATAAATGTTAAAGAAGAGCTTGTGAACGGATATTGTGCATTCATTGTACCAAATCATTCTGAGCATACCGGAATAGAAGACATTGAACAGGAGAATATTATGAATGTGGAGGAAACAGAACAATTTACAGAATATTTGATTGATATTGGACCCACAAAAATAGAAGTTTCTGAGCAATTATACGATTTGAATAGCAGAATGCAAAACACAGCAACCACAAAACAGGTGAGCAATGCCATTCGTACTTAAAATTTGAACAAACTTATAACTTCATTTTATTCCTAACAGAATGCTAGAGGTATGACGCTTTAAATCGATGTAATCTATATCTCCCACAAATTTTGAGCTAAAGCTAACAAATTCTTTAAAGCTAACAATATTTGTAGCACCCATCATCAAAAATCTAATTAATGCATACCGTTTGAGGATTAAGTTTGATTAGGAACACCGGCAACATCAGCAACCGTTCCATTTTATTTAGTGTTCTGAATGCTGACTTTATTTAATCCAGCAATTCATAACATTTTAATGTATACAATATTTAGAAAGTGTATCGCTTTAGACGTGCCTCGATCATTATCTGTTTAGTGATAATGCTTATCGCACCTTTCAAATTTGGTGACTGTTGTTCTAAAACTGAGGGAGATATAGATTTTCGCGATTCCAAGCCCTAAGTCTCTAGCTTATATATCTTAAGAATGCGACATGCATCCAGAAGAACAGGCAGACCGGCATACAGATATGTGGATTAATCAGCTTTTGATGCCGATTTAAGAATATATTGTCGGAGATGCCTCCTTCTGCCTATTGCATGCTTTTGTACATCTTCATTATAAATTATTAATATGTACAATTATCTTTCGAGTTCAAACTACGCGGAGCAAAAGAGCAAAACAAAAATTTATGAAATGCTCTCCCTCTGCTTTTGTTCTTTCTGGTATTTCTAAAACTGAGAGCACAATCTAAATTTTGTTGCTATTACCTTGCAAATTTGTCAAATGTTACACTCTGATGCAAAACTAACAAATATAAAAAAAGTATATGTTATACAAAATAGACTGCCTTACCACTAATTTAACACAATTAACATACGCGAAGAAAAAGAGCATAACAAATACCTGTAGCAAAAATTATATTTCGTTTGCTATGCTATCGCCGTGCTCTCATTTTTTTTTTTTTTTGCTATTACAACTGCAAATAGCACATTGCTCATTTTTTGCTGTAATTATTTCTTTTTGCTGTCACGAATCAGAGCAGAGCGAGAGAGCATTTATGTGCTCTTGCTCTCTTGAAATTCTAAATACCCAGCGGGAATTGCACGCGCATTCAGTTCCATAATCGATTAAATATAAAATATATTTTAATTAAATGTCATTTTTACCAAAGCTTAGTCGTAGTTATTCAAAAGAAGGACGACTTGTGCGCTTACTTTTTTGTTTTAATTAGTTTTCGGTTACATTTATTAAAAAGTAAGTCCTTACATTTTGGTAGCGTGTGTGGACTTATTTACTTCTAAACGCAAACTGTACGTATGCGGAAAATTTCCACTGGGTGCGAGAGCAGAGCAATTTTTGCTCAGCTCTTGTTGCTACGAAGTAGTAAGTTGAAAAATTTGCTACAGACGCTTTGCCAGCGCACTTTTTAGCAGTTCAACTTGGTGATTTATTGCGTTAATATGGCTCCGCGAGTGCACAAATTAGATATTTATAAATATTTTCGCTACCATGATGTTAATTATGTACAATGCAAAGAATGCTGTCAATTATTGAAAAAAGATCGCACATTTAACTTAAAAAAGCATTTAATGCATCTGCACAAAATACATTTATACAGCCAAGTAAGCAAACAGCTACAAGAAGCAAAAAAAATATATGCAATATGCTGTAGCAATGGCAAAATCAGTACATTTCTCTGGTCTCATTGTTTTGACTATTGCTACATTTGTAAATTTTTTGCTGTTGCTTTTTATTTGTGCTGACAAGAATCACAAAATGAAATAGCGTTTATTTCAGTTTTGTGTTGTTGGCTCTGCTCTTGCTTTCTGCAAGTCAATACTACCATCAGCAAGAGCAAAAAAATATTGAAATCGTTGCAGTGGAAAAACTATTATTAAAATATATTTTGAATTTCACGAAAAAACATGTTAGTTGGCTTGTGTATTCGGCGAAATATTTGACATTCCCTTGACTGCGAAAATCATTCACACTTGAACGTAAAATAATGCGTTTTTGGTATTTTCTAGGACGTTTTTATGTAAACAATGAAATATGCCGCAAAAACACTAGTTATGTTTTTATTCTCATTTTTTTTAGACGATTATATGGAGGCCAAAAGGCATGAGAGCGTTAATTAACTATTATGAAGAACATGACAATATGTATAACCCACAGCATGTGCAGTACAACAACAAACAGATTCAAGCAGACTCACTTCGGCAGCTACAATTGAAAATGCGGAGCTTTCACGAAGGGATTACTGAAATGGAAGTAAAAACAAAAATAGCTGCTCTTCGCAGCCAATATATTGCCAATTTACAAAAAGAGGCAGAATATCGTAAAAATGGTGGCACGGGTACATGTGAGAAAATGCCGCCTTATTTGAAACATCTAAAGTTTTTAAACCCATTTTTGAAAATTAACGTAGAGAGTAGCTCAACTTTAGCTGTTGTGAGTATTTCTGCATTTTTGGTGTGGATATTATGCTAATTTATGTGTATGTTTTGATATTTTCATTCCACAGAAATTACCTGAGCCAATTGTTTATGAAAGCGACAATTCTAAACACCACGAATCCGATTCAGAAGTAGTTTCCAACGCAACTCTTTCAAATTTGAGCACAAACGTGCCTGAAGCATCCCCAACGGACAATGTTTTTGTGACCGGCAGAGAAGATTTGGCCAGCGTTTCAAACAAACGGCGGTCTTTTAAAGCGGATGTGGAAACATTCGGCGAATATATCAAGGTCGAAATGGACCAAATTGAGGATCCGAAAAAGCGCCGGGCCATGCGATATAAAATTATGAAAGTCTTCATGGGCGAAATTTAAATTATACACATAATTCTTTTTAAAAAAAACAAACAAACCTGCTTACATTTAAGAACATAATTATAATTTCTTATTTTTATATATTAATTATATTTCGAGAGAGCGAAGACACCATAACAGCCGTTGTTCCAATTAAAAGCTGGAATCTCATTCGACATTTTTTTGCCATTGACTAAATTTGAATTCAGTAGAGGTGAGTTTAAGTCAACGGCTGTTTCAGAGAGATGGTATGTATTGTACCTAAGGACTTATGACGAGTTTTTTTTTTAAGTGGCAGCACAGCTTATAGATCAAAAGAAGTCTCCAAATATTTCGAGGCAGAATTTTGATGGTTTAGAGACCACAAAACTAAAATCCACAATGTTAACTCACTGTTGACCTGTGTGGATTCTATGAACAGCTGTTCGACAACATAATGGACTTTGATATATTTTTACGGCAGTTATCGGCAAACCACCATAGAAGCGGCAGCTGCATAGAATTGGAAATAGCAAATTATGATTGAAAAATGATTTTAGGCTGCAAGAAAAAAGTGTACTCGTAAAGGCGAACAAATTAATTGATTACATTTTTGCTTCTCAGCAAACTTTTTTGGTTTTAAGTTTCACAAACGAAATAAGTTTCGTCGACCTGTAAGTGGGATTATAAGTATAATAAGTATATTATTTACATTTATTTTCGTACAACCACTCAGTATTTCTTTGTCGACTATATTCACTAAGATTTAGACATTTCTGCGAAATGCAAGCAAATCTGCAAGAAGCCAAATTCAAAATAGAGAATTACATAGAATTCAGAATAGAAAAGTATCCAGAACAAGATGCATACAAATTAAAACACATAGAAATTGACATTTATTTGATCCCCATTCTGAATTTCGATACAAATTGCAAATTGGTTTGCAATCGAAACTCAGAACGGAGTCGTTTTATTTTTGATTTTAACGTTTTACATAAAGCTGGACAATGTAGCACACTAAAACTACTTGAGAATTGTATTTATTTATTAAGCTACATATTTAATCTATACATATGTGTATGTATTTAATATTTTCATTCGCTGGCACGTGTTAACCGAGCTCAAATAAGTCGCTAAATTACAGGACTACAAATTACATATATTATATATATAGTGTCTTATACATAATTTCTGTATTATTCCTTTATGCAAGCATTATCCGATGACTAAGTTATTGATTTCACTTAAACATTAGGCTACTTAAGGTTTAATGGTAATGCATATTTAAGTGTTCTATGATCGCACATATCATTCATTGCTTATACTTTTAACGGCTATACGCGCGTGGGCGTTCCAAAAATGGGGACATTGTTGCGCCGCTGGGCCAGGGGGGAGGCGGGCGTTGGCGTGGGTCCATTGTTGTTGTTGTTCAGTCGACGTTGCTGGCTATCCGAATGGGCACGTTCTATAAGAGGGGATCATATCGTGTCAGATATGTGTCTATATGTATCATTGGTACTACTGATTGGCCATGCTTATTCGATTTTATGTTTTTGGGGGATGCTGCATGCAAGTATTTGTTTGTTTGTTTTCTTTTTACGTTTATTTACCAAATATTTTCCGTTTCTTCTGCAAATTGTTCACATGCAATTGAAATAAAAATAATAATAATGTAAAGTTATGTATTTACAATTAAATACAATATGGAGTATAGTTAACGAGCTGCCTTTCTTTTAACTTAGAACATTTATAAAATTAGAATAATTTCTTTATTTAGGGAAATATTCTAAATACAGAAATTAATGTTTTCCAATCAGCTTTGGATTAATTTTTAAAGACATTCATTTTGTAAGTGTTTTAAATATATATTTATATGGAATTTATAGTTAACGATCTGCTTTATACATTTTCTGCCTTTTTTAATTCAAAAAAATCTTCTCATTTTGTTTAAGCCTTAATCGAAGTCGAAGGAATTAATGTTTTACAATCGTCTTCCTATTAATTTTGATAGATTTTTAGATAGATAAAATTGGCTGTCTCCATCATATAAAACACATAACCAAAAAAATAGTTTAAGCTAGTTTTTAGTTGTAGTAGTTTTTAGATAAAAAACATTATCTACATCAAACAAGATAATTCTAAATTTATTAAATCTGTTAGTCAAAATAAAAAAAGAGCACTTAAATTGAAAATATTTCTATATATCATGCTGCTTAGTTTTATGCGGAAAAATGTTCAAGATACATGTTTTTAAGGAATATATTGCATATATTTGAACTAATCTTAAATCATATATATATTTTTTAGTGAAGCTTTACACCAATTTTGAAATGTTAAAAGTGCATTTATGAAAAATGGAACTTACCTCGAAACTTTAAGCCCTGTGCCTCGTTGATGATGGCCGCCAGCGCTGGGTGCTGATAGCGCTCCCGGAATATGGCCGATCCGTTCATGGCGGAGCCACCATTACCGTTAAGTGTGCCATTGCCGTTGCCATTGCCATTGGCTTGCTGCAACATTTTGTGCTGTGGTGTGTGCTGGGGCGTTAGTGAAATAGGGGGCGTGGCATTGCCATTCTTGTAGTACCGATTCTGATTGGGATCATAGGCAGTGGTATTCTGATCGTGATTGTGATTAAGGCGATTGGCCAGCTTGATGGAGGTGCAGCGCTCCTCCTCATTGTTGCGCATCTTCAGTATGCGCTGATCCTGCACAGAGTACCGTGAGCCGTTCAAGGCATTCAGCTGATTCAGATTGGTCACCTGGGGACTCAGCTTCTTGCCACGAAAGCTGCCGCCCGGCGAGTTGTTCAGCAACGTGCCACGCGACGAGCTGCCGTTCGTTTCGGTGCTATCCCGGCTGGCTGCCTCCCGATAACTGGATGGCCGGTGTGTCGATGGTGGCGTATCCAGTCCGCTGTCATGTGCCGAGCAGTCCAGCTCCTGTTTGTTAGCCAGGCCAACGTTGCTGCCGCCATTGCTGTTGTGTGTGGGCAGCATAGGTTGCACTAAGGAGAAAGAGTTGAAGAGGTTCAATAAGTATACAGGTATAGCACAGGATTAATCGGAGACTCGACAGACATAACTTTACAACAACAACAATAGAGTTCGATTAATAGCTTAATTTTTTACTATATGGGCTTTATAATTAATATGGTAAGCGAGAACAAATTAATTTTTAATGATCTGATACCAACTAATTCAACTGTTTCAATAACTCTCGATGGAATCCTTACTGCATTTAATAAAATTAAGAAAAAGAAAATGTTTGTTGAATATTCTAATTTTTAATTCTAATTAAATGTATGTTGTAATTTTATTTAAAGTACTTCACATCTTTCAATTAAATAATCCGATTTATAAGCATAATAATATTTAAGAAGGCTTTCAATTATAAATATTGTTTGGACAAGCCCTGGCAATAACCTTAGATTTAATTAATATATTTTTAAAAACTATTTTTCAATGCCTTTTAATATAATATTTGTATTAAATGCTGAGTACTTTTAATAGCTTTTTTATATCAATATCAAATATATCTCTAAAAAGTATTAATCGTGCTCAATTTGTACAGGTCTATGAGAGGTCTATGAGAGAGTTTTGGGGACTCACCTGAGTGGCGCATATCGGTGGGCGCACGCGGTTTGCGATAGAGCCAATCCCTGTCCAGCTCGTTGCCATTGTCCGGCTGGGCGCTGATGCCGCGGAAGAGCCGCGGACGACGCAGCTGCACTTCGGACTCCTCGGCCGTCTCCTCGTCGACGACCGCATTGGAGCCGAAGCTGCTGTTGATGAAGATGCGTCGTGGTGATCCGTACAAGGCACCGCCAGCCTGCGTGAAACTATTCTGCGCCGAGGCATAACCATTCGAGTAGCGACTGAGATTTGCATTGCTGTGGTGCGGAATCTTCTGCGGCGTGGAGTGATTCGTTGAGATGCCGCTCATATGATGATTGTGATTCTCATTGTTTAACGCACTCAGATCCGGCACCGAGTCGCTAAATAAAAATGGATTGGCGCCAGCATAGCCATTCAAGCTGCCGGCGCCAATTTTATGGCGCGCCAGTCCGCCGCCACAGCCGGAACCATTCGTCATCAGCCAATCATCCAGTGCACTGGAGTAGGTGCTGCCCAGTCCAAAATGCTGGAACTGCAGTGAGGCATGCGACACAGGCGCGGCCAGCGAGGCACGCGATCTCGGCCCCTGAGCGATCTTCAAGGCGCGACGACGCTCCTTCGAGGTCAGCGTGCATTCCTGCTCAAAGTATAATAAAAATTAAACATTAGAAATGGGCCAAGAATGTGAATGATTACGTGCTTACCTCGAGCAGCTCGAACCAATCCTCGAGGCCATCGTCACAGCGCAGGAGAACGCGACCCTCCCGTCCCAGCAGCAGCCCAATGGCGCTATACGAGCGCCGATTGAGCCATTCTACCTTCTCCACGTCCACCAGCTTGACCTGAAATCAAATGCAACAGAAACAATGAGTCAGTCGTTGCTCCACACAATACGAGTCAAAGGTTAGGCAATGATGGTTCGACTCTCTGGCTCACTCTGCGGGTGTCTGGGAATTGGATCGCATTCGATCCAAAGACGCTCACGTTTCCAAGAGCCGAGCCAAGATAATTACAATTGATGTGCTGGCTTTGCTGCGTGAGAGCAAGTCTAACTCAACGTTGCTTTAGTTTTGATTTAGATATTTGGTAAGCGCATTAAAATAACACTTAAAGATATACATCATAAATACCATTAACCTTAATTTTTTCCATTCTTTCAAAACAATCAAATTTTTATTGGCTATTTTAAGTGATTTTACCTTTGATTAAAGTTAGCAAGCCACATTATTGTTGTATTAAATTATTATTATATTTTACGGATATCTCACATTTGTGTGGATTATTAATAAAAATAAATACATTATCAATAAAAAATATTTCTGAGAATTTATTATAAATGTTGATGGAAATCTCTAAAAATGTATTCCAAACAATATTAAATATTTGATATTTGCCTTCTTGGAAAATTTATTGAAGAAGAGTTGAGTAATACTAAAAATAAGTCTATAATAATTTATCAAATTTTTAATATTTTAAGTCACTCGTGTATAAGAGGCGTAAACATTTCATATCAATAAATTTATAGACTCTTTTCTTTATGCACTGTTTATTTTAGTAAATGCTTACCAAATATTTATTATATTATTTCGTGCTAAATCGGATTTCCACATTTCTTTCTACACTTTTTGCTTACATAATATTCTCTCTCTTTTTCTGATTCTTACTCATTATAGAACAGGCGCAGAATTCCACGGATTATGTCATCAGCTGCCGGTTAGCAGTAAGTTGTTCCATTAAGACTACATCGCACTTGCAATAGGAAACTAATGCACTTAAATTTAATGGCAAACGCCATAAAATAGAATGCTACTCGGTTATTTTGAGCACGTCTTTATGCAAAACTTGAAGTCGCCAACAATACAACAATTAAGAAACGCCTTCTACTCGCATGTCCACCTTTCTCTAACTATTTCTTTTGCTTTTACTGGGTTCTCTCTGAGTTCTTCTTGGTGCATTTTGCAAGTCGGTTAAATGTCATTAGGGCAGGCCGACAGTTTCGCCCTGGCCAAATGCAAAACTTTTTACCATGTAGAACTTTTATTGAACTAATTTTTCTTATTGTTGTAGTTTCTTCCCGGCAAGTTTATGGCTTTTATTTGCTTGTAGATGGCGCTGCTTTATGGCCTGAACTTAAAGTTGTTACAGAGACTGCGCTCCAGCTAAAAACTGTGCGAGGCCATTAGGCAAATATGTCAGCAGCGTGTGGCAATTAGCCAAGTTATGCGATATCAAACGTTGGCCAAGATTTTTCTTACCTCTTGGCTGACTGCTTCTATTTTTATGGCCAGACATAATTAAGTTGTTTTAAACGCTTGAGAGGTGGCGGACACTTGAATCGCTTTAATGATAATTTGCGATATGCGATATGTGCTCACAAAAAGAAAAAACGCAATAGAATGGATCGCTCATCATGGAGCATGTCAACACCAAAGGCCTTGTCGCAGATCTATTAAAATGCCGGCTCATAAAATAATCTCGAGCAATGTAAATGTGTCTTGTGTGGGCGTAAACAAGCTAAATATTATAGGTATATGGTGATCTACATATATATATTTTTTTGAGTTGTAAAACCTTGTCTTAATTGTTGATATATGATGATCTTTCACATTTCAAAATCTTATAAATAGAAGAGATAAACTGGATCATAGAGAATCATAGCAAAGACTAAATAAAAGGTTTCAATACAAATGCTGTTGAAATATCAGTCGTCTAATCTTTTCTCCTATATATATATGATTTTCTTTTCAAAGTAATTCTAATTGATATCCTGAATAACATTCAAAGTAAGGCTGAATAGGCTAGTAGTACTTAATGTCAAACTCATAAGGAAGTTTCCTAATTTCTGATTACAATAAGTTAATGCATTATTTCTTTCTAGCATTTCCCATAAAATTGAATTTCATAGTTTCCAGTGATATCTAAATATTGCAAATTGTTTTCAAATTACATAGAATTAAAATTAAAATTAAAAAATATCATTTAAATAATTCCTAAGTCTACTGATTTATAATGACTAATGACTTATAATTAAATAATAATATTTTTAATAGGTCCTGTTAATGACTTATAATTATTTGCACTTCAAGTGCTTTCCCTCACAATCCCTTACCATATTTAAACTATTACTTTAGTTCGACTGACCTTACTAGACCCCACTCAAAGCATTTTCAAATTTCCGCCTCCAAATTTTGAAACTTTAGAGCAGCCGCAAAACTTTCAAAAACAAAACAAAACAGAAAAAAAATTATGATTTTCAAGGCTATTGTCGATTAGCAGTTTTTGTTATTGTTATCTTTTGTTGTTTCATATTTTGTCATATTAAATAGCATTTGTCTGTCAAAACGTAACAAAACTCGATGGTAAATCACTCACAACAAATTGGGTATGTAGGTTTTACACACGACAAGTACTAGACTCTATATGGTGTATATATATGCAAGTAAGCCGAAAGCAAGTCATAAAAAGCCATTGATTTTTGACACGTTTGATTGATTTGTAAGGCTGTGCTCCAGTGATTCATTATCATAATATTTGGTGTACTTGGCGAGCATTTTGTCATCTCTTAATTATGCAAATGCGTTTTTAAAACGATTACAGTATGCCGTGGGGCATGCAGCTCAATTAATATTCACTCATTATACGAGTATCGAATCCGCCATCAAACCTTTCGGCGAATGTTGCTCATAAAAATCAATATTGATTTCATTCACTGTCAAAGTGCAAAAACTGCAACTTTGGGGTACATTTCTCGCTCTCGATTGCGCCTCTGCCCCCATATCATCTCATTAAAGACCCCTCTCCCCCCCTCATCAGTTGCTGTCACGTCACCTGTAATTATTAAGCATCGGTAAGTTTCACGCGCGATTGATTTCCCCCTGGAAATGGGCTGCAGAAAATGTTTCATCTACCTGAACATTGACAGGAGTCGAATCATCAATTTGAGCTAGGTAGACGTAACAGTCTCGTCTCAATCACTTTGAAATTTATGCAAAAATCAAATTAAATAATTAGACTGTAAATGAGGCTAGCGGTGGAGAGCGCACACCTAATTGATTAAGTTGATTACATTGACAAAGTGATTTTAATTCCAGTTTTTGACTGACAAATTGACTAAAAACAACAGCAAAATCGATGTAGATGTACAATTTGAGAATAAATATATAAGTCTAATGTGTATAAGAATATAATAATAACGACATGTTTAAATATACACATATGTACGAATAATCAAAAAATTAAATACTTTAAAGTGAATTTCAAAAATAACATTTTTATTTTCCTTAATTTTATTTGTTTTAAATTTGACTTTTATGTAAATTCCTTTAAAAACACAATTTACTATAAATAATTTTGTTTCGGCTCCAAGGCACAGCGAATATATATTCTCAGATATAGTATAGAAAATTGTGTAAAAATCAGTCGTTTCCAATGAGCCAAATTGCTCAATGACTCGTTTAGCTGGTTGTTGTCTCCACTAACACGAGTGGGTGTCTAAGCTGATGATGAGCATTTTTATTCAGGTTTTTGATTTTTTAACAAATGAAGGTCTGTGAGATTTGAATGTTGGTTTTTATAACGATACGTGGAATATTTAAATATTTAATAAGCAACTTAAATATATTGTTCTCAAAATGGCGCGATTTTAAGTTGAGCTTACACTTGTTAGACATTAAAATAATATTGTACCGGGAAATATTTATTGATAGATTCAAATGGTAAAATGAATATTGAAAAAAATGCATGTCATTTGCTTAATATAAATTTAGCTATTTGTTATGCTTTGATCAATTTTATTTGTTTGAGATAACAAAAGATCATTAAAACTCTATTTGGGATATAAGTCATAAAATGTTTTTAAAACAGTAGAGTATTTTTATCAGGAAGTTTATACAAACCAACCCACTATTATTTGGTAAATTTACCATTTTTGTGAAGCTTTTATTGATGTCCACCTACAAGCTAATACTTTTTGGAAATGTAATTTAATTACCTTTAATATAAAATAAAATAAGCACTGGTTTTATACAGTGAATAGAACGGTCGATTGACTAGTTATTAGTGATGTGGTTTGTCCAATTTCATTCGACAATTGAAGATGTTATTTTGCTAAATATTAAATATTTTCAACTTAAGTTGCTTCTAAGCTAAATCCACTTAGGAAGCCCATGACAGCAGGTACACAAAAATCACGCAATATTCATTTATAGAACTAAAAGCATGTATAAATTATATACATACATTATTATTTCACTACAGCTTGTCGCTTTAAGCATTTCCCAACGTGTTTTTTTTGGCTTTAAGTTCCATTTATCTTGATTATCTACTGGTCGCTGAATTGTTTATCTTGGAAAATTGCCCACAATAAACAAAATGCTTGCTGCTGTTGCTTTTAAATGTATTTTAATTTTAAATTAAACTGTTAACAACAACAACGACTGCCAGCAAAAAATATTTATTGACGCTGCTCTTAGTGAGACTTTTAGCAGAAAACTGCAAAGTTGGAATAAAAAAACGATAGAAAACATTTTGAAAATTAAACGAAAATAAAAGCAATTTCCCATGATCTCTTTAAACATGCTCTTGTTGTTAAGTGCATATAAAGTGGCATTTGCGAAGCTGTTGTTGTTGTTGCAGTTGTTGTTACACTTTTCTGTGCATTTTCCTTATTTGTTGAAACAACAACAGCAACAACAACGAACAATTTCAAAGCAATCGTGTGTTTTAACTGTTGTTGCTTTCCTGTTGTCTATGTGCTTGATTTTTATACCCTGAACCCATTAAAAATGGATAAAAGGAGTATACTGGTTTTGTGCCAAAGTATGTAACAGACAGAAGGAGGCAGCAAATATACTCTAACGCTGATCTCAGAGACTATGGCTGAGTTCTCGTTTACCACGGGCCGATTAAGTTTATTTCTTTTTATCGATAACTGTTCCCTTTCCGATAAATAGCGCAAATCGTAGTAGAGCACTCTCTCGTACAGCATTCTTACTTGTTTGAGCTTCCCTTTAGTCTCATATTTGCTTTGCTTTACTTGTAAACTGGTGCGGCATAAGGATGAAGTAGGGAATAGTGGGTCAAATTAACATGCAGTAGCTGCAAGCTTTAGCCAATTAGATTAGTTTCGCCCAAAAGTGGACAGCGTGATAATAAAGTTGTTGTTTTTTTTTTCCACAGTCGCGAAATCCCGGGGGATATGTTGGAAATAGCTTTTAGTTTAACGAGAAACAGCGCAAGTTGACAATATTTCTGTTAACCACTTAACTAATGCATGCATTTCTCACATATATTACGCATTTGGCTAACAAATGAGTAAGTTATATCTCTTTTTTTTCCAGCACCTTTAATAAAAGATCTCTATCAGGAGACCTCAAGCTCAACCAACTGTCGAACGTGACGCAATGTTTCAAAGCCAGACTGGGACTCAATTCATAAGCATTTTAATGTTCTGCCCAGCACTTTTAAGGTGTGTCCTGCTTGGTCTGATATGGCACATAAAGCGCACAGTTAATGCCCCAAAGAGACCCCTGCACCTCGGCGAGACACAATGTGCACGAGTATGACAAAGTTGTCATAATGCCGGGCATAAATCTAATTGTGGCAATAAAATTCTACAATGCGTAGTAAATAAATGTGAGGTGTGTGTTGGGAGTTAACCTGGTTAAGTGAGATAACTCTGCATCCAGATTTACAGGGCTATGTACAGTTATAAGGTTATTGAACTTCAATAGGGAATATGACTAGAATGAAAGAGTTAATCCACTGACATCTATAGTTTTGTTCGGAGTTCGAATTAGTTGAATTTGAATTACAAAAAATGTTTGCTTAAAACAAATTAAAACGATTAACTGTGTGGATTGATAACAGTTTTGCAGATAGCCCCGTCGAGTCGCAACCTTTGATATAAAACTTAATATTCCACATACCTTAAATATAAACTGTCCCATATCCGAAGCACGTTCGTTGGCCGAGCCTGAGGCACGTTTAAAGCAATGCAAATAGTCGCGGGTGAGCACAAAGTATCTGCAAAGAAAGAAAAAATGAAAGAAATACATGAAATCATGGTCTATGTGTAAAGGCCATTGTGCTGATCTCGTCTTAAAGGTCAATTGCTTAAAGAGCCACTCAATAATGATTATTAAATAATTATCATCTAAGCATATTCAACAATTGGCAACAGCTTGCCAATTGCCACTGCAACAATACATCCTCTGCTTCTCACTGGATCACCCACAGCGCTCAAAATTATTATTAATAAATAATAAATCATGCGGCAAAATAACAAACAAAAAAAAAACCCAGAAGTCAAAGCAATAAAACACTTGAGCAACTCAAGCACAAAAGCTACTTTACATTTTATGGGTTTCATAAGCCGATGATAATAATATTTTATCGTCACGATAACAGCAACGAAAAATATTTTATTTATATGCCAAATACGCATTTGATATTATCTCTTTTATTTTTTATTTATTATTTGTATTTTTTTCTTCACTTTTAACAAACACATAAACTTTGTTTGGGCAATAATGCATGGCCAGAAATACGCGTGTCTGAGTGAGTTGAAGCCTTATCCATTGATTTATTTATGCCCAAAAGTTTCTATGAAATTAGTTTTCTCGTTTTCAAAAAGGTGGTTTCAAAGTATTTGCAAATCGGTTGAACGACCAAGTTTCGCTTAAATAACGAGAAGTGGCAAATTGCTCACTTCCCAGTCGGCAGTTGGCTGAGCTCTGAGTTCTCAGCAGCTGCTTATTAACGTGGCCAAGTAAATTGTGCTAAGGCGAGACGATAAATGTTTTGTAAGCTCTTCGAGCCAATTCACAAAACCCAAAGATGCTTTCGAGCTGACTTCGGTTAATTGCCTAGCCATGTGGGCTTCTGAATAACGAGCTGCAGTGATTAGCCAAATGCTCCAAGCATGAAGCAAGCCCATAGTCGCAATGCTGCTGCAAATATGCTGATCGAGAGAACTTAATGACTGGAAACTTTCAGGTGAGCCAATGTGAAAAAACACGTTAAAATTGAACATGAACAACAAACAGTATGAATAATGCAGAATACTAACGAACGAATCGGAAATTCAATTGAAATGAAAGTACCAGCAAAATCAAACATTCGTTTGTATTTAAGCGATTATATAACAATTGTGCATTTTCAGTACGTAATCAAAACTAAATAAGCCAGAGGGTTTTAAATACAAAAGTCATTGGAGCGATTGTTAAAACCTGTTCATTAAAAGCAGCTTTAAATTGAAATCATTAAGCCATTGATTAATTGACAATATTCTCATCAAATTTCCAACACATAAACTAAAATAAATTATTTAGCCAATATTCGATCTTTGATGCGCAATCAAAAGTTGCATCAAAAACATCAGTGGAAGTGGACACTTCATGCTCAATTGGAAAGATCAAATATGCACAATTGATATCTGCGCTTAGTGACCATTAACTGCCAATTAAAAATATGCCGATAAGCATAATTACCAGCTGAGTGCTGTGCAGAGCAACGTAATTAAATTTCAATTAAGTATATGGCAAAAATAAACAAAAAGCACACACCTGGATGGCCTGTGGAGGACGCCAAACCTACCCAGAAACCCACTCAACAAAACACCAAATGCAATCAGTCAGTTGGTGAACCGATTCGAATTTTGCATTTTCTGCATTTCAATCTCATTTTCTGCAGTTCCAATGTGAAATGAAATTATGCACTTTGTGCAATTAACAACCCCCCGAGATAAATCAATTTGCATAGTTTTGCCTGGCCAACGCCGGGTTGAGGGTTGTGTCATTTTGGACTATTGAAAAAAGCCAAATGATTTCACATTTCTCTACTCAAATGTCTTCAAATATTGCTGATTATACCTATGATTGTTATGTTATATTTTCTGGTTTCTCCTTGCCACTTTTTTAATTAAATACTAATTATTCTTTCTATAAGCCTTTCCAGCACTTTGTCATGTATCTTAACCAATGCTGGTCTGATACGATTTCTTCTGGGTTTTCCTTAGTAAATGTTGCAAGAGTTTATTAGTTATATTAGTTATAAAATATATATAAAATAAATATTTAATAAATTTATGTATACGAGTATTAAATTAATAAATCAATATAAAAAGTAATAATTCGACAACATTTTTTGAATAGTTTGTGCTACGTTTTCGAACTTTGAAGTCAACAACGACATATTTTAGCTAAATAAATAAACCAACCACATCCTATTTTGAATATAATTTAGATATAACATTAATTTCTTATCTAGCTAAGTTAGCTAAGCTAGTTGAGTTCCCTGGTTAAGTTTCTAAGACTCGCTTACCTCTCCTTCCAGCGCGAAAAGAGCCGATCTCGTTGCTGCCAGAGCAATCCGCGCTTAATGGGTCCCGTCATGGAGGCCACAGGAATGCGACCCGCCAGCAGCGATTGCTGTGAATGATAGAGAAAAGAATGAAATAGAACTGATTAAAATACGCATACGCATAATAATTTGTCTGGGGCGTACATAGGTGAGGTAGTTCGTGTCTGCTGATTTTGCAAATTTGCCTTATTTATGATCAACATTTGCTGAGCGTATCAGCTGTTTTCGCTATCTGTCGCAGTGGTTGTCATAATTCTTTAGCCCCTGCACTTTATGGTATTTTAAATAATGTAAGCAACAACCAGCAAGTCGAAAACCTCTCTGGCTGGCTGCCTCCCATAGCAATGATTAATGTTGCTTTAAAAAGCCGCCACTTGCGCCGCTTTTCCAACCCCCTCATCCCCCTCATCCTTCTCATCCACCACCCCCAATTCACCCACATGCCGCACAGTTAGCTTCCCCCATTTAAGACACGTCTGCTGCACCATAAATTCCATTTGGGTGTGTTTGGTGTTTTATATTTTCTTGCTGGTTTTGTTGCGTGGTTTGCTATTGTTGGTTGGCTCATAAAGCCAATTTATTATCAAGCTGGTAGTGTTATAATATTTCATATTAACAAATGTTAGCTGATGAACATACATGAAGTTGTGTTGTGCTTAATATAACTGGCTAACTGGCCCGCAATGTGGCAATTATAATGAGTTAATCTGTGCGGCTTAAGCTTAAATTAACAATTAAATTTAGCGGCTTTCACTCAGTGATGAACTCGTTGCAAATATTTCAATTTAACTTTTGGATGTTGTGTAACATTTGAAAGTGAAACTATCTAATATGAGCACATGCATCTAAATATATATTGTTATATCTAACATATATATATATATATTATTATATTATACAAGTAGAATGAATAGAAAAATTATATGTAAATCTAGCTCCATAGTAAATAATTAAATGTGAATTATTTATATTTCTTGTTTAACTAACTTAAATGTAATATTTTTTATTTAAATGATTAATATTATTAGTTAACAGGCTTGTCATTTTGTATTTAAACTTAATTTCTGCTAAATGACATTGAATTTGGCGGTGTCAAATTGCTTTCAAGTCTTTAAAGTGTAATTATTAAAAATACTTCTAAATATATATTTTAAAAATATATGTATTGATTTTAAAAATTTTATATTGATTTTAATATAAGCTACATTTGAAAAATAAAATTAATAATTATATTTTTGAGAGTCTTCTGATATTATAATAAGGAAAGAAAAAAAACGAAAAATATTCAAATCAGTGTTTCCTTTGTCAACTATTTAATTTATTGCATTTTTATTACTTAACATACAATTTAATTAATTCGAAAGTTTCTACAAATATCTGTCAGCTTGCAACTTAATATGCCGCCCACCAAATGGCCCCAATTCCATGAATAGAGTCCAAACTCATTTACTCATTTACTCATTAAATCCAATAGCTGCTGCACGTTTCTCCCAGAAGCAGAAGAACAAAAAACAAAAAAACTCAGTCCACAAAGTCGTAGTGAATTGAACAATAGTTTTTAATGTGCTAAATTAAGTTTCGACTGCCTCTTATATAGATCCCCTTTACTTCCCTCCTCACAGCGAATAATCCGCACAATTTCCTAAGGTTTTTTTTTCTTTCGGTTTTTCCCTTTTGTTGCTATATTGAATTTGAAGTTAGCCAAGGCATGTTTGTTGTTCTTGGTCTTCTGCTAGATTTTGTTGCCGATGTTGTTGTTTGTGTCTGGGCGCTTAAACGTGACTACCGTTAATTTGGCCAGAACCTTATTAAACGCTCTGGCAACAGAAAGAACCGGCAAGAACTTCGCCATATTATACTTAGATTGTGCCGCCGTGATAAACGGAAGACGAAGCACCACAAAAAAAGTATCTTCATTTTCGGTTTGAGCAAGAAACCCAAAATAATACAGCGCACCAGAGATTTATCGGCTTGAAAAAGTATTTCGAATTAAGCAAGAGCTTTGCTGATTTTGCTGCTGATGATATCATTTCCCAGATTCCAAATTCACATACTTTTGACTTTAGTGTGTCCACAAGACACTTAAATAAAAATGCGATTGATGCGACAGAATCAAGCCGGCGTAGCTTTCAGAACCCATTGACCACCATCAAACGATAATTCATTTTTGGTATTCCGATTCCTACCTTTTTTTTCAAATTGAAAGCCCGTTAGCGCCCCGCATGGCCCCATTGATTGATTTTTCGTTTCGTTAGTTATCTCTGGCTTTGGCCATAAGCATATCATTAAGCCGTACGCTTCGGGCCAAATGGTGCCATCGAGGTAGCCACAACGAATCGTCGTATAGCTATTTTTATGGCTTTATAATGAACACCCTAATGTTTGACATTTGTTGGCCGTCAGTCAGTTGATACATAGCTGTTGATTTGTTTGCTGATCTTTGGAAAGAAGCTGTTGATATTTAGCTATAAATTTTGCTAAATGTTTTTTGGGGCCATTTGTAGTGGAATTGACATATTTTAAAGCTGGTTTCTGAGCTTTGTTATAAGAATTTAAGTATGAATAGCTAAAAATTAATATGGGCACATTTTATTATATAAACAAAAAGCATTTTGTTCAAACAACAAATATTTGAACAGCAGATGAAATTTCTAGCAAAAAATTTGCCAGAATTTTTTATTAAGTGTATCCAGGAAAAAAATATATTTAATATTTTTTTTGTACAATCAGTTGTATAAATAAAATTAAATAACAAAATTAAATAAATAGAATTTGGAATGAATGGATTTCAATGGACTTAATCTATTTTTTTAAGTATGCATATTGATATAGAGTTAATAAATATATATTTTTTTTTTATAGATAATTGGCTCCATTTCACTGAAAATTGTCAATCACTGAAAATATACACCTTAAGCATATATTGGGATTATTGTTGATTTTAATGCAATTAAGTTTGCAAAATTGAAATTATAATTTAAAAAATATTCTGACTGTTTTATTTATGTAGCAACAAATTTGAAATTTACTTGACCTCTTTCCATCATTACTCAAAGCTGTAATAAAAATGAATGCCAACAGAATAAAAACTTAGTCAGCATTTACTAATAAAGCCAAACAAACAAAATAATTTTAAAGAAAAAATTTGAAAAGTATAAACACACAACAACAAAATTAAATTAAATTTTCGTCACGTTCTGTTCATGTAAATTATGGTTGAGTATATCAAAGGTTGTTGTTGTTGTTGTTTTCTAATTTTGTGCCCCATGTGGCGACACTGAAAACGGAAATACAACCCATAATTGTTCCACACACGCATCTGTGGAGCTGTAAAGCTTTCGTAGAACTTTGTTTTTATGACTTAATGTGAGTTACTTTTATGGCCAAAAGTGTGGCAAAAGACGACTGTGCTTGCAACTGCAACACTTGACATGGCTGAGGGCTAAATGTGATGCAAAAATTGTCATAAATCAATCGAGTATCCGAATGGCGTAAAATAAATTGAAAATATGAGATGAACGCGGCTGTGGATAAACATCGATGATGACACAATTACTCAATGATACGACTATATATAAAATCGGTGCCTTCACAAACCACAACCAAAACCAAAAGCAAAAAACCAACATATAACAAATCATGGTTTATGGCAGATCCAAGAAAAAGAGGAGCGTCAGCATCTGGCTGAGGTTGGTTCTGTGTTGGCGTCTCATTGAAGTGGGTTGGTGTGCGTGTGCGTGTGCGTGTGTGTGTTGAAAGTGACTGGAGGTGCAATGCGAGGGTCGATTATTGAATTAGCAACCTTGGCAGGCTGAAAACTAATTTATCAAAATTAGATTACGTTTTTCATAATCTTTTTTTTTTTTTTGGTCAATTAATAAATGTAATTTATTATTTTCCAGTTTTCATGAAGAGACGAATAAGTAGTGCTGGCAATGAAGATGCAATTAATTTTGCATTAGTGGCTTAACACCACAACTGATACTTAATGTTAATATATTTTAAAGAGGTGCACACTTTGATTAATGAGCATTTTATTTACAGAAATGACATAACTTAAAACGTTGCTTACTCTTGCGAATGCTAATAGAATATAAATGACATAGTAAAATGATTCTGCGAAGACTTAATGAGAAAGGCAATAAAAACGTCATATTACTGAATATATTGGTTTATTTAGTATTTAATATTTATATATCCGAATTCGTGCTCCCAAAAACTAGGTAGAATTTTTTCCTGTATCAAATCTTAAAATATATATTCACTCAAATCAAAATAAGACAAGGTAAAGGTTAAAGTCATTGCCTTAGAGTCAGTGGCTTAATTTTCTACCCTTGCCTGTGCTGGAATATAAACAAACAACCCTCTAAGATATTGAGTTGGCTTGTGGGCAGTCTAGAATAAGATGCTACATTTCGGAATCACGATTCTTGTCAAGAGTTTTGCCTCTTTTACTACCTCAATGCCAGCACCAATTTCGAATCAAACTGGGCCATTCAGCATGCCTTTTGTTTTTTGTTTTTTGTATGCCAATCCAATTAAAAACCACTAAAAATACGCCATAAAAGGCTGGGGACCAGCTCGGCTCGGTCAGACCAGACCCGGTAATTATGTAAGCGGCACAGACTGACTGCAATAAAAAAATATACAAAAAATACCACAAGAAAATTGCAGACATATTTACGTGCCAATTTGGGCAGTGTCTTGAATACATCATTAAGTAAAAAGCACGCCGGCAACATAAGTAATAAAACTTCAACTTTTCCGCTGACAAAAGTGCGTCAGCTTCCTGCACTCGTTGGGTTTTCACACAACAAACAAACACAAAAAAAAAAAAAAACGAATACAAACTCATTTAAAATGCAGTGGAAATGGGGGCATTAGGCTGTTTGAGTTATATAATCTTTTATTTTATTATTATTTTATTTGGCGCGGGAAAATGTAAATAGTCATGTTCACAGATGTAACGAAAGTGACAGAAAAACGGGAAAAACTGGAAGAGCTCTTCATCAGAGCCTTCGCCTTCATAAGGAATCTGTCATAAAAAACAATTTGAGACATTTGCTTA